TATACTGGGTTAATCGGGTTGATCCAATTGGGTCAATGCCCCGGGTCGACTAGGTTAAGGCTGTGTTGGCCGAGTTTTGACCGGGTCATTTGTTGCTCAGTCCGAATAGCCCACCCGAATCGGTTCCTGATCCATGTCGACCAGTCGGGCAGTCCGGGTTGAAAAACACTCGACGTAAGTTTTTTCTACGCATTTTAACTAATTGTTAATTTTATTGTTCAAGAATTTCTTTCTGTAATAAATGCAAAGTTAGAGTTGCTTTATAGTTAGCACTGTCAAAACGGGCCATGGCCCGCGGGCTGGCCCGTCCACCCGCCTAAATGGACGGGCTTGGGCCTTTGCTTGGCCAGCTCGTTTAATCGCGGGCCTATTTGGCCCGCCCCGTTTGGTCCGCAGGCTGGCGTGGGCTGGACCACGGGCCAGTCCTTTTTTTTATGACAAGTATTGTATATCTGTATTTTTTTTTTTTGTTTGTCTTGAATTTAATTGTATAATATAAATATAAATAAAAAATATTTTTTTTTATGATAAGTATTGTATTCTTTTTTTTCTCGAATTTAATTGTATAATATAAATATGAAATAAAAATGTAAAGACATGAAGAACTTGAGCAAGGTGGAGATTTGATGGAGCTGGACAAAATATTGGTCGTCCACTTTTAAATGTCCCAATCCAATCACTTTCCTTAATATAGCATAATAGCAACAACAATTATTAAAAATAGCCAATTATTAAAGGATGAAAGCTTTTAATTTCATTTTGCATTCTACCACAATTCAATCACAATATATGGTCACCATCGAGATCAAAATATCGTACAAGTAATTCTTATTCAATTCCCACTGTCTTTTTGCCTTTTTGCCTTTTATAGTTTGAATTTAAAAATCAAAATTGCATTATAAATTGCAAAAAAAATAATAATAACAATAAAAAAACAGTAAGTTAAAAAAAAAACCACGGGCGAGCCGATTTGGCCCGCGGCTGGCTACGGGCCATGAATTTCCCAGCCCGTAGAAATGCGGGCCATTTTGGCCTGCCCCGTTTGAATCGCGGGTATGCACGGGCCAGACTGAATCGGCCCGTTTGACAGTGCTACCATAGTACTTTGAAATTAAAAAATTATAGCACTTTGTAATTAATAAATAATAAAAATTATTATACTATTTTGTAATTCTATTTCTATTTTTTCGTGCTCTTATGTCAATATGGACTAGTAGGTTAGAGCTCTTAAAACTGTAAAACACTTTAAATTATTAATACGTTTAAAAAGTTGATACTTTCATGTTTCTACATTGTATTTATAATATTCTAATACATAAAATATCAAATTTATCATCTTTCTTGAAACATTGATTTGAATATTAACATTATTTATATATTTACATCTATCTATACATATGTAAAGAGCGAATGTATTTACTAACAAAGAAACTCAATCAGCATTTATTACATTCTATTTTCGGCAGTTTTATTATTTTTCTATTTATATTATTCCAAAAAAATCAAACAACTATATATGCACCCTAAATTTATGGATTTCGTGGATTTGATTTAGGTAAGTTTTGGCAGATACTTACAATTTGATAAAAGTCAAAAAAAAAAAAAATCTCATTTTTTAATAAAAAGAATTGATTACCATAAAATCGAGAATTTCCAATTAGGCAAAATACAATCGCATGTATCTTTTCCTAATTGCAACATATCAATTGTTTATTATTAATCAAATTGCATAGAAATCGAGTTAATTTAGATAAAATTTGGCATGACAATTTTTTAAAAATCAAAATTCTCTCATTTTTTATTAAAAAACAGTTCACCATAAAATCGAGAATTTCAAATTAAGCAAAATACTATAACATGTATATTTACATAATTGAAAGATATCATATTTATTAAAAAAAAAAGATTGCAAATAAATCGGCCCAGATTTAAATTGATAATTAAAATTTAAAAATCTCATATCATTTGTCTACTACTTTCTTCAGTTCATATTTTTTTAAACATAAAACAAAGCTAGATAATATTAATTTGAAATTCAAAATGAAAACAGATCGGAACATCATAAAATTTTAGTTTTTGTTTAATCCTATAGAAAACAAATTTGAATCTGATTGCATACACGTAGACAATTTTTTCTTTCTTTAAATTCAATAATTTACAATTGTAAAATAATAAGGCTATAGATTATCAAGAAAGGCATGTTTACAATCTCCATTATATTTGGTTATACAATCTTCATTAAATCAGTATAAATTATATCATAGATATCATGCAAAATAATTTAATTGATTTAGTTAAGCCTGTTTAGGATCCTAATATCTATACTTATATAATAAGGTATCCAATTTACCAAATTTAGTAGGTTGAAAAGTCAACGTAATTAATGCATTGATATTTCTATCCATAATTATATTTAATTATTTTATTTATTTGTCTTATATCCATAAAACTAGTTTAAGAAAAGAAATCCAATAACATCTGATAAGTAAAAAAAAATGACGTAAAATCTTTACTAAAATAAAAAAAGTTTTATTTATTTGTTTTTATTCCATATTAACATCTATTTTGTCAAAACAAATTCTATAAAATTGATGAAGTCAAAATTTGTACGTAAGTCTATCTATACTAAAAAAAAAAAGACAGATTTAAAATTCCTTATCTAATTCATTCTTTTCCTTATCAAATTCCTTCTTATTATCTAATTAGACTAATTGTATTGAAGTCTGTTCTGATTTTGTTCAACCCTCTAATTGTATTTGTATTATATCCCATAAAGTCGGTAAAAAAAAACCCCATAACATCCGATAAGAAAAAAAAAGTACGTAAAATCTTTACTAAAATAAAAAAGGATTTATTTATTATTTAATTTATTATCTAATTGTATGGAAATCTATTCTGATTTTGTTTAAACCGATTTCTGTATATTCAGACAATTTTTCTAATAAAAATATTAACAACAATATATATATACTCTACCCATTATAAATTACAAATCTCAAAATAAATTATTTGAATTATTTGATATTTTGTTTTAAATCGAAATTTGAAACGTATATTTTAATTTTTTTCGTGTATGTATTTAGATATTTTATTACATGTTTAGTGAAATATATTTTCGATTTTTTTTTAATTTTATTTTCATATTTACACTTTGGCTTATTTATTCTACATATCGTGTATGTATTTAGATATTTAAATTATTTATATTATTTTCATGTATTGTAAAATGTTTATTGAATATTGCATCCTATAGTATAATAATCCTCAAATAAATATATAATGTCACGTACTATAAATATATCTCATACATTTTTTTTATTCATTTATATGATTATAAGGGTGAATAAATGACCTTAAAATTGTGCACCTCGTGCATCGCGGACTCTGTACTAGTATATAAGTGTCAAGTGTTTATTTTCTTAGATACGGTTTACACAGAGGTACGTTGTTTTATGTTTAATAATATAGAAGTTACATTTTATTCTATTCCAATATATAATGGAATAAATAATTTTTATGTTATTAAAATCATCCAATTATCCAAACATAAATTATCAATATAAATTATTCCAATGCACGGTACCGCGCACTAGTTTGTTAATAACATATATATTATCGATCAATCAGTACTCATTTGAAAATACATTGTATGCACATTCCTCCCTCAAATTAGAATATAAAAAGAAAAGATTTACGACAACCATAAATAAATTACAATATATAAGGAAAAGATTATATTCAAATCAAAACCAATATAAAAATATAATAAAGAAATAACAAAACGTAATTTCTAGTTATCAATTAACCCCCTAAACAACACAATTTTCTCGAGTCAAGACATTTTATATATTCATGAGACCCATATTCGTAATTTACGTGACTAATCTCAATCAACACAAATTATATAATTCACAGGATTAATACAGTAAACATGGTATTACTATTACTACTATATATATATATATATTAACAATTAAGGTTTCGACTTTCAACATAAGAGCTGTTTGAGACACTTTTATAGTCCTATACCTACCCTAACACAAACAAAATCTCCATTAAAATCAAGAAAAACATGTCGCCAGCGGCAATCAACCTCACCACCACCACCACCACCGGCCGCCGCCGCCCCCCCTCCATGAAGCTCCTCATCACTTCAACCGACTGTGACCCGAGAACCGAGCTATCCTTCCCCTACCCCTCTCAGCCCACCGTCACCTGGAATAACGTTGTCGAAGCCCTGTCCAACCGAAGCTACTGCTTCGCCACGCGCCGTCTCCCAAGCCTCTCCTCCTCCTCCTCCTCACGGAACCCGAGACCCGCTTTCCTCATCCTCCACGCCTCGAAAAAAGCTGCCTTTTTCTACACCAACAACGAAGGCAATGACTACCAAATCACCTACGACGAGTCTCTCATGGACGGTCTGCCGTCAGACGGGACCCTCGACAGGCTTCCGCGATTCCACCTCTTCGAATCCCTGCCGGAGGATCTCCAGGTATCGGTGGTCGAGCGGCTCGATGCGGTCGGCCTGGCCATGATGCGCTGTGTCAGCCGCCGGTGGAGGCGGTTCATGTGGTGGCGGCGGCCGCCGCCGCCAGAAATTGAGAAATTGGGAAATGGGGTACTCGCGCGCCGGCTGGTTCAGGTCACCTGTTTTGTGATTGTCTCGTATATTATTGTTAAAGACATGTTTGGACGTGGCCATGATGATGATGAGTAGATTAGTTAGTGTATGTATATATACACACACACACAAAATCAGTGCACATTTGATTTGTCGATTCTATATTAAAGTTGGTTCTACGGGTTCGATTCTATAATGACGAGGAGCTTATTAAGGCTAATGTTTGGTAACCAAATAAGTTTGGTTAGCTCCTTGTATTCAAATAAGTTTTCTTTGACACAACGAGTTTTTTAAAAAACTCGAGCTTATTTTATAATTTGGTAGTTTTTCTTTAAATAAGCTCGTTCAAATATTTATTTCAGCAGCTAATCTTACCCAACACTTTTATAATATAAGCTAACTTTTCAGCTACAAGTCATAAGTTATAAGCAATGAACTAGATTATCAGCTAGTTTTACCAAACATAGCCTAAGTTTCTCGGGTTGGCGAATGGAGGGGTGGAGCTTAATGAGCTTTGTCCGGTTGTCCTAGAATTATATAACCACATTGCTTAAAGGTTGTATCCTAACAAAAGAACAATGCATGGTGATTAGATGAGATGAGACAACAAACCAAACAATAACACAGGAATACAAACAGGCAACAAATCATCTGTACAGCTCTCCATATTCTTACTTTCACCCCATCTCATGTTTAACATCAGCAGAGTATGTATATTGGACATGAATGTTTTATATACAAAGAAACTCTGGGAAAAAAAATTGTCACTAAAACACACTACATTTGCCGAAATTTATAACCTACCCACCGTGGATAAATTAAGATGTATCTTTCAGTATGCTAGTAAGATGATAGATTTAAAACATACTAAAACAACCCATTTTTCGCGGATAAAAATAAATAAATAAAACCACAAACATATTTACCTAAGTCTCGACAAGCAGCTGTGGAGCAAGCGAAGCAGGATCGAGCTCCCAACAATCCTTAGGAAGTCCTGAAGCCT